GCGGCGCCCACAGGCCGCTCCGTGCGCCGGGCCGCTCCTCGGCAGCTGCTGTTCCGCCCTGTCTGTGGGGACGAGCCCGGCAGCGTCACCTCCCGCACTCAACACTCAACGGGGGGACCCCGGCACCAGGGGGAAGGGTGGAAGGAGCAAGAGGACATGGCTCCATTCCGGAGCTCCATGGCAGGAGCCCTCAGAGGCTCCTTCTGCTCTGTCGCAGGCCTCAACTCAGGGCTCCTCTTCAATACGACAAAACAAAACACTTCTGGGAAAAAGCAGCACACACTTTGGGGAAAGCAAAGTAAAATCACATCTAAATCAACCCCCTAAAACATAATGGTATCTAGACTAGGGGTAGCTCAAAAACATTTTTTTAAGTGACCAGGGCTGCCACGTCCCAGGGTGCTGCCCCAAAGCCAAGCTTGGGAGGAGGATAGGGATGGTTGTATTTTGGGGCTTCAACATTATTTGGGGTTTTCATCTGAAATGATTCCTTCCAGACCTGTATTTTACAAATTTTCAGAGAGAAAAAGCTTACAAAACCTCTCTCCTACACAAAACGCACGGACATAAGGTATTATTGCTACCCAAGGACAGCAATTTGCCCCGGGGGCTCCCGCTCCTTTACAGCATGACCTACATCACAGCACTCCCTGCAATCCCACGTCCTCATCAACGCAATTTCACATAAAATCCCCATTTTAGCTGCCGCCCGCCAAGACAGGTCTCCCTTGCGCCGCTGCCGAGCGGGGCACGAGGAGTTGGATGGCGCGAGGAGCTCCACGCTCGGTCACTATGAACCTCAACAACCCCTTAAGAAGCAGCACGCGCTGGTAGTTAGAGCTATRGAGTTTCCTGCTCACACACATTTCGGTCTGGGGCTAATGGGCAGCATCTCCATTTTTCTGTGGCTCCTACAAAGGAGCCTCTAATACCTCAGACCCTTTTAATCAACATCTCCTGCGGAGAGCGAATAGATAATTGGAATCTAAGTGCTGCCATCCCTATCCCCCCTGGGAACGCGACACTGTCAGCACCCTATCTCGCCATTAGGCCACCCTTTGATGTGGGTTTTGCTCTCATTAAGCTCTGTTTTAGCCTCCAGKTTTCTCCCCACTGCCTCTCCTCCAMGTGGYGCACACCAGAAAGAGAGAAGGGACAAAAAATCCCCTCCCGCTCCAAACGCCGAGGACGACTTTTCTGCAAGGCGATGGACAAGTCAAAAACAGAAAGTGGCTTTTTTTAGTATCATGTCGAGCAAATTCAGGTAATTTCCACTTTTGTGGAGCCATGGGACTAAAACAGGATGCCCGAAGGGTGCAGGGGGAGCAGGGGAAGATGCCAAAGGCTCTCTCCTCTTTTCAGATGGTAAAGGCTGCAAACAAGCAGGATGAATGTTGCCTGGAAAGGCTGCTGCGGTGGGCTCTGCTTTGAATTGCGCCCTGTTTAAACAAGAGGAAAGCCTCCCACTGTAAAAAGAAACATTTTTATCACGCTGAACATCTCAGGGCAGTCCCTTCCAAATGAGGTATTTTCTAAACAAAATACTGGGCCGTTTCCCTGCGGGGAACGAGCATCCGAACTCTTACAAATGATTATTTGTGAAGAGCCGTAGCTTTATGGCRTTTCTGTCATATTTGTTTTAACTTAAATACGATGAAACCTACACGAAATGGCCACCCAAGGGACCTGGAGYAGGCAGCTACATAGAGGCTGATCTTTAAACAGGAACCGAATTGCACCCAAGCCCCTAAGGGCAAGCATCAACCTGTGGCTTAAGGCCCGGCTCAGCTCAGCGCTCAGCACCAGCCTCAGCGCCAGCTCCGCGCTCGCTTCGGGTAACCCCACGGCTCCCAAACTCACCTTCCTCGTTTACCTTATCAGCAACAAACTAAGCTAATTAACCTGACTTATCAACAGCAACTAGAGGGGAAGAMTTTTTTTGTAGAGCACCCGTGGTCCTCCAGCAGGGCCAAGTTTTGGTGCATTGCAGCAGCCGTGGGGCTAGGACGGGCAACGGTGGCTGCAGAGCAGCATAAAGGCAGAGAGCCCAGCACAGGGTGGTTTTCTATCAGTCTGTGCATCTCCAAGCTGTATATTTGCAACTGCTCATAACTATGAGCCCATCAGGAAGGCAGAGTTTTGAAGCTCTTTTTTTGGTTTGACTCTTCAAGAGCTTGGCTTAGAGTTTGGCCTGCCCAATGCCAACCCTTCGCTCATGTGTGCCAGCGAGCAGGAAAAGCATGACACAAGTTTCTCTAATTGCAATAACAACTTGCAGGGGGCAGGGGATGCAGGAAAGTGGTGTTTTGTGCACATGCACTCCATGTGCTTTGCTAAGCGATGAGATTTATAGGATTCCAGGGAAAAGTCTTTCAAAACAACTTCCAGGTTTCTTTGCAAACCTCCAAGCATTCACAGTGTTGCAACTTCTTCCAACCTGCAAGACTTAAACCTCTTCAGACGCACAAGGAAGTGCCAGATTGAGAGTGCAAATATTCTGCAGGAGGAGAACGCAGTTACATTCTGTATAAATCCTGTGGAACCACAACTGGGACCRTGGTCACATGGGGTCCATTACTAGAAAACGCTGTTGGATGACCAAGATGGAAACCCACCTCTCCACCACCTTTTTTTGGGGACAAAACACAATTCTTGTGCAATTATTATGTTTTTGTGAGTGCTTAGCACAGCAAATCCTGCGGCACCACAGGCTTTTCATATAAAAGAGCCGCTTTTCTCAAGGCTCTGCACGGCAGGGTGGTCACCACTGCTGCTCTCACCAGTGCCAAGGGTCAGGACACTCCTCACCCGAGAGGCTCAGGCTCCCTTAGCTGCTGCTGCCAAGGCGTGACATTTATTAAAATTAATCTGCGGGAAAATTAAATCTGTTTCTATAAACAGTAAGCGCTGAAGCACAGGCACCAGAACCCTTGGAAAGGCCGAGCGCCCTTGGGTCAGGTTGGACGTGGCGCAGTGAAAGTCCCAGTCCCTACCGGGCAAACAAGCTGYGTGGGCTGCTGAAGTGAAGAAAGAAAAAAAAAAGGAAAAATAAAGGAAATATCAGTGTGTTTATGAAAACAGGAAATGAAGGTGGATCTTAAATGATGTCTATTTTGCATTATATGGTAAAGCTGGAGAGGGTAAAATTTCAAACCTCAAAAGTCAAACAAATCTAGGGCAAAAACTCTGTACCTGCCCCAAATTTTCCAGATGCTTTTCCTAAGCTAAGGTAGCAGCTTCTTATACTTCTTATACAACATTTACCCTTCTCTGACTGCTCTGGACTAGTTTTTAGCATCAGCCACTTACGAGTTTTATTGAATCGGAGAGGAATGAAAGAGTTCCAAAAAGTATCGGGGCAGCCTCAAAGTCAGTGACACTTTAAAGAGCCCTAAAAGAGCTGCTGACAGGTAGGAAGAGGGACTAGGTCCCCAACATCACCATTCTGTGGTRAAAGCCAATATGAAAGGGAGAAGTAAAAATACAAAAATAGGTTAAATACAGTTGGGCCAACCCGCGTTGCATTGAGATGACAGCAAAGTTCACTTCAGGACACTGGGAACTTCTTAAAAAGATTGCTCTAAATCCAAAGTCATCCAAACGCTCCCGAGCTGCATTTCCGACTCTGGAAACAACTACTGGACAATATAAAAGAACAAAAGAAAAAGTATCCCCTGCCTCATCTTTATTCCTCAAGAGCTGGAAAGGAGGAAAGGGGGGTTCCTTCCTCAGGGGTGCCAAAGCGGGGTGCACAAGCGCAGCTCCCCCGGCCGCCGATCCAAGCGGCCTTGCTGCAGCACCCACATGTCCTCGGCCCCTAGCACCCGTTTCTAAGCAAAATTAACTCAACACGGGAATCCGTAATTAGCAGCATCTCAGAGAACAAATCGGAACAAGTTTATCAAAGTGCTATATTTACAGGGAGACTGAATTCACCCCCAGGGTTCGCTTGGCTATTTTGTCTCAATTTTCTTGTAATTTCATCCATCACATTTTTCTTTTTTTTTTTTTTTTTCTTTTTTCAGTCCTCCAAAGGTGATGGATAAAGCACAGAAATAAATAGGACCAACTGTTCACAGAAGCCTAAGGGAAAACATATTTTTGTTATAAATAATCCTTGGCACAAATCGTGGAAATGCAATACTAAAATTGTTTGTTGAATCATTTATGAATTGGGCTTTCAGTTTTAGTTTGCAAATAAGCTATAGTTTTTGTTGATGTTCCCTCTCGTTTTGTTTTCTTAGCTGGAAACGAGCCTTTGAGAAAATGAACTGATATTTAATCCAGAAATCAGAGCGACGGAAGGATTTTTTTTTTTTTTGAGGGGAAGCCCATGTTAATACCGGTTGGTTTCTTGTTTTTACACACAGGATGGTGAGAGGCTAAATTATGATAAATTCTAAAATTCTGTTATTAAGATGTTATTTTCGCTTTCCGTTCCAGCTTTATAATAAATACGTAGAAAAGGCAAAGACCACATGGAGCCACACAGAACAGCCAAAGGAGAAGAACATGGCTCTGTTCAGGTCATCTTCAACTGGATCTCAGTGGGACAATTGATAAAACTGCAATGGAAATGGGATCCAAATAGTTTTCTCAGGGAATTAAATGAATATATGTGATCTAGCAGACAAGTGGACGTAGAAAAAGATCCACTACATGATCTTGGATTTGTTTTAAGATGTGAAATTGTGCAGTTTTCTCATTACATATGAATGCACAAGTTTGGTGGGATACAACTACTCGCTCCCAGCTTTGGCTCCCGTGCAGAAGCGTGTGATGTGAGCGGAGCTCCTGCTCTCCTGAGGAATTCCCTAGCTGAGAGGACAACGGATAACACAACCCCCTCACAAACCAGTCCAAAGCGCCCAGACCTATCAAAGCAGAGGGCTGCATTTCCTCCAGAGCCTTCCAGATGCCTCTTTTCCCTCACCTGAGGGCGAGGGCGGCCCGGAGACGCATCAAGGCCGGTTCCCGTCAGCCGCAGCAGGGAGCCTTACCTGATCTGTCCCCGCACCAGAGGTCTGTTTTTCGTCCTGTTCATATTGGAGTCAAAGGGAACCTCAAAGAACTGCAAGGAAAAAAAAAAGGAAGAATCAAAATGAAGAGGAAGAATCAAAATGAAAAGATGCTGGACACCGAGCCACGCGTGCCAGGTAGCACCCGCGTTCACAGGGACTTTTCCTCTCTATTTTTGAAGGTTCAGAGATGCAATTAAAAAGCCAACTGCTTTCACTGAACTTGGAGAGTCTCTGTTGATAATTTTGACATCCCCTTAGAAAGAAAAGGCACCCGGAGGACTCAGATATTTGGTCCAGGTCCCCCGGAGCCAAGCAGGCAAAGCAGAGCTTGATTCCACATTCCGGTCTTGGTGTGTTTGATGCTGCTTTATTCACACGTGGTTATGCACGTCGATGCACGCACAGGGACAGCTCTGACTCCAGTTTCACATTATACAGACAGAGCGAGTGCGGTGCCTCTGCTATTCACCAGATTGGTGCTATACATTTTCCCAAAATTATCCAACGTCTGAGAGCCCCAAACCCCCCTCCAAAATCAATGAGCTCTTGTAAAACGCTGCTGAAGCTGCTCTGCGCATCTAGCTCTAACAGCAGGCAGCAAACACACCACATGGTGTCATTTAATGTCACAGCCCACCTGGACTTCAAACACTGCCTATGGGAAAAGGTGGGCAGCGCTGCCGCCCCGCTCCAAATTCCTCCAGGCTTTCCCATTATCCTTCCTCTTTCCGAAGAACGTTCCTGGAAAAGGTGAGTGCACTTTCCCACGCAGAAAACAGTAAAACCACTTAGCTTGAAATGTGCAAAATAATAATAAAAATAATAAAAAGCATGTAGAAAGAGTGTAATGTGTTTACTGAAGAAGGATTTTCTGTTGAAGCTACATCTGAGGTTTTGGGGTGGGATCCAAATTACAGTGCATATGTAGGACCGGTAGCATAACAAATCCTAATCCCAATGATCAGAACGATGGTATTTTGAGCACTGTTGAATGGCAGGCAGACWTGTAAGATGCCTGTATGACAAAATCTAAGGGATWTCAGCAGCTGATGAACCCTTTAGCACGTCGGAAGACAAGTGTGACAAACGCCCTGATGTGAACGGTGCCACATTGGTGGCCTTGCTACCTAGCAGGGCCACCAGCCCCTCCGCAAAGCCAAAACCAGAGCTGAAACACGGCCAAGGCCAAATATCCGTGGATTTTACTCCTAACTGATGTACTGCCAAATGCCAAGCAGTTCATGTATTTGTCTCTTCATCTGCACAAAAATTACTGCCGTGAATAAATAATGGGAGTGCGGTGAAGCCAAACGCAGGCAATCCTGCAGGAACAGCACCCGAGGAACAAATCCTTTGGAGCTGCGGCGCTCCCGGACTGCGGCATCTCCCCGAGCAGCCAGYGGGCCAGGGACGCAGGGCACATCAGCAGGGACGAGGAGGGCAAGGGAGGAAGCTGGGGAAGGGATCCAAAGCATTCCTGGAGGAGACGAGCGGAGACGGACTATTCTGAACACAGAGCAGAGGGAGATGAAAGGCAACGAACAGSGGCACGAGGAGCAGAAGCAGGATATGCTAAAGCAAAAAGAGCTCTTGGGACAAWGCAGTTTTTAACCACGGAAGCCTTCCTTGGATCACCCACTCCTGGCAGTCCCATCCTTCCCRCTCCTGCTTCGCTCCACTGCTGCCTTTCAGGGACAACGACCTTAAATGAAGCAAAAATGGCACTGACATCATCAGAGCAGTCAAGCAATCCAAGGGAAAACCCTGCAGAGCCGCTGACTTCCTCTCCCAAAAATATTCAGGCTGTGTTCTCGCTCATTTATTTACTACGTTCTCCTTTTGCCTTTATTTACGCTTGCGAAAAGCTCACTGCTCTCAGCTGAAATCTGGGCATGAGAGGGTCACTCTTAAACACTTAATGCTGGCTGAAGGCAACCAGTGTGCAGTGCACGAGACTAAAACCAGGCAGCTCAAATATAAAGTAACTGAAGGGAAGAACAGTTGGACACGACACTTGGGAAAGACCTGAAACTCGTGCAGCTGAATTGGTGCTGCTGTCCGGTGGGACCACAACCGGAGCAGGAAATCTGGCCTCTCTTTACTGGACTGCTGTTAAGCCCCGAAGAGAGGCCGGTTTTGAGCAGWCCCTCCTCTGCTCAGCTAAGCCATTGAACAGCGCCAGTCTCTGTGTTTTGCAGACATGGCTGCTAACAAAATTAAGATCCCTGCATGTACGACTGAAATCTGAACTTCTTGGCTTTTATTTCTTTACATCCRAATGACAATCTGAATAACCTGTCAAGTGCATGCGACTAACTTACATATCTGATTGAACTACGGTTAAGAGACAACCCTTCTATTTGCAATGCCCTCTATTCTTTCACTGGGCTAGTCACAATTACGTGTCAGCAAGATACCAGTTATCAAACTTGTCACGTTCTGCYCCCAGACATTCAGTAAAATCCTCTCCCCACTTGAAATTATTTTCCCCTGATATTCTTGGGAAAAAAAAAGAAAAAAAAAAAAGCATCTCAAATATCCTTCCATAGTGGTGAGAAAGTGACCTTGAACATTCTGCTTCAGGCGAGGCCAGCAGAGTGCTGCCCATGTCAGCAAACAGTAAACTCAGCACGGGGAGTCCKGGATGAACAGGAATTTGGGCAGCTCCGGAGGGGCTTCCTCCTCGGGGAGCCCGAGCGCCCGTGCAGCCGGACAGGAGCAGCCCCTGCCCACGAGGAGGCCCTGGGCACCCAACTTTTCCTTCCTCCCTTCCYTCTTCTGCATCCAAAGCCAGGAGAAGGTGACAGCGCCTTCCTCCTCCTCTTCCATTCAGAACTGCACCTACAAAGCAGGGTCTCCTCCATGGTCCATGTTCTGGTCCCAAAGCRTAGAGATGTAGGGCAGCTGAGAGGACTGCAGCTCAGGCCCTGTATTCCCGTGTAAAATWTCTGTACAAACAACACAAGGCATTTGGCATTAGCTCCTGACAAGTTTCTCCATCAAGATTTTTTTGCTATGCCAATTTGGGGGAGAAAAGTGGAGAGAGAGAATGGGAGAAGCGACACCCCCCTTACCGGCACAGAAGGCAGGGATCACAGCTTGCACACACAGACCCCAGTCACGTYACCCGGCCTAGGCCAGGCTTTCCSRGACRTGCTSRCGCTGCCGCCYGYGCCGCGMCGCTGGACAAGCCGGCACTTTGTGCTGGACGTGGCCGGGCCGCRGCGCGGACGCGCTCTCGTCCCGGAGCAGCTGCCGTCGAGGCGGACGTCCCCACGGCGCCTTCTGCTACCCCGGGCCACGAGCAGGGCCCACGCGGAGCAGCGAGGGGTCACAGTYTGCCCCAGAGACGAGGCTCGCTGGGAGCCGTGCCCGTGTCCCGCTGCGGATGCGGGAGCAGGAGGCACGGGCTGGCGCGCGGCCCGGGCGGCTCCAACGCGCTCCGACACGCGCTGCAAAGGGCAGCGGGCTGCGCGCGGCAACTGGCCCTCCACGTGTTGACATAACGTTTTGCTCTAAGGCTAAACACATATTTACATGAGGCCCGATAATCCCCTAAGTCTGAAGGCAGAACATCACCCCTGCTATTAAAAGACGATTTAATTTGGGGCCGCTCGGAGCTCCTCTCCTTGCAAAGACACGTCCCCGGGCGCGTGCAGCTCAGCGGCCTCCCCACGGCCACCCTCCCAAGAYGCTATTTTAGGTGGAAAGAAGTTGAGGCCGATCCCTGGGAGTCCAAGTTACCCCCGATCCTGGGSGGTTCCAACCTGCACCTACAGCCAAACCGCAAGTGAAAAGCAGCAGAGCGAGCGTCCGTGCAGGCAGGGGGTTAGAGTCACCGCACCCAAGTGCCAACCACGGACTCAAGAGGGGCGGGTGTTGCCCTTGGGGAYACATTCCCGTCCCTCCCAATCCTCTGGGACCTGCTCCAGCCTGCGGAACTGGACATGGGCTGGAGCGCTGGCTGAGCTACGGGCCTGTCCCTTGGTGCTGAAGCCCCTCTGCACCTCAAATCTCCTGCTACTGACCCAAGCCAACATGTCCAAGCCACACAGCTCTGTAACAACTCCCAGGTTGGGCATTTCCACCACAAGGCTCAAGCTGGAGGTGAACCCGGGACACATGGGGCGAGTCTTGCAGACGCCTGCCCTGCTTCAACTGGATGCTTTGGAGCTCTGGTCATTTCCCCTGTGCTCCAGGAGGCTCCAATCCCGCTTGGTCTGCCAGTGTTGGTCAAGCATCTCCACTTGAGGAAGAGCTTCCTTCCCGTGAGGGTGTCCGAGCTCTGGCCCAGGCTGCCCAGGGAGGCTGCGGAGGCTCCTGCTCTGGAGATTCCCAACCCGCCTGGATGCAACTGGGTGCCCYGRGCTCTGGGTGTCCCTGCTGGAGCAGGGGTTGGACTGGGTGATCCCTAGGGATCCCTTCCAACCTCAASCACTCTGTGATTCTATATGAAATTCTACCAGACATGTTGGCCCAGGTGGAGCCAGAGCAGAGTTTGGATACGGGGCTGACGATCTGCACCCACCTTCTGGAATATCATTCCTTGGAGATGGAACGTGGAGAGGTCCCTTACGGGATCTCTCAGCTGGTCAGACCCAAACACTTGCTCTTTCACAAAGTTTCTCGTTTTTTCCACATACTTGAAGGAAATTTGCTCCAATGAAAACTGGGGACACACGCATTGGGCTCCAAAGACACCAGCTCCTTCCTTGGCAGGACCTCCTCCCCTCTGTACCAGCTCCTTCCTTCTCCTCTTCCTGCTTCAACCATTTACCTTATATTGTGATAAAGTAGCATGCAATCGCATAAAAGGAAAGCAAAAACACGGCATATAATTTATGGTAAATAGAGATCAAAGTCAAGATTATGATGATCGTTTTCCTTCTGGTTTCCTTTCAATCACTTTTCTATGAAAACAATACAGAATAATTAAAGCACGTTACAAAGGTCTTTTTATTCAATTGTACACAGATGTGATTAAATAAAAGAAAAAAAGAGGGAAGATTTTCCAAAGCCCTCACGGACTGATCTAACACGGTTCTCCCCG